ATTCCGATTATGTGTCAGTGGGGAAAGGGGAAGATTATAGTGTCAACAAGGCGATCCTTTGCATTCATTTCTCCTCCACTCCAATGACCAGTCATTCCAGTTTTTTTAAGTAACAGTCAATCAACTCAAGCACTCCAAGAGTCCATTCTGGGCTCTACCCTGGTTCAAGCTCTCCCTTCAGCAAAGCAGTTCAGAGTGTCCCAGTGTCCTCTAGGGAGTAGGTGTGGCCATAAGAAGTTGGAGGTGAAGCATGTTTCTGCTAGTGAATCATTTTTTGCCCATTTGCTTCTGTCACAAAGTTAGAGACACTTTTCTGGGGGGAGGGGTACAGGTTGGTACATTTTATCTTAATAAAGAAATCACATTTGAGTATGCAGCAAGTTTTAATTTCTTCAGAGTTAAAAGGAATGAAAGCTGACTTTTTTTATTCTCCACATACTAAAGTGATATGTCTGTAACTTAAGAAAAAAAAATCTGGAAACTTCATCTTCTTGAGATTAGAGCTTCAAAATATCATGTTTAATGTTTGTGTGGCTCAGCACCTATAGGGAAGGTCAGGTTTTTTCCATTTTGCCTGTTTCTGGCCGCTTCCTCTGATTCTCTTGCTTCCATCATAAATATTTCTTTTCAACTCCCTAAATTCTGTTTCCTCTGAGAGACATTTGAAAAGCAATTTTTTTCACTATATATTTTACTTAGTTTCACTTTCATCTTAGAGTTGTTAACGTGCTAGTGTGCCCCCCACCCATTCCTCTTCCTCAGTCAGGAAAAATGTTGAGCTTTTTAAAAAAAGAGATGAATTTAATTGGTTAATTTAATAATTTAGAATCTTTGTAGTTCGAGTTACCAGAAAGGCGGGGATTCTTTAAGCTCACTGCAACTACATTTGCTATTGAAAGAGCCCTTTATTTGCTGTGAATAAAGTGTCTCTTATTAAGAAGAAAATAAAAGAAAGTTTGGCAGGATTCTACTCCCAATGGGGGCAACATCACAGGAAATTGAGAAATTGTTTCTTTTTGGCCTTGTGGGAAAATTTTGCTGATGAAATTTAGTATTAAGGTTTTAAGACTACAGCTTCGATGTATCAAGAAAGAGCTGTTGAGTGACTAGCAGCTTCTAATTTGACCCTTCTACATCTGACCTGTTGAATTTTTCATGTGCTCTGAGGAATGTCCAGAAAATAGTATTCTTTTCTATGAAATGACCCTGCTCCTTTTTTAAAAAAAGAGAACTTAGCTATACTTCAGCAACTAAGGAATAATTTTAGCAAAAGTTGGCCTCAATTAGGTGCTCCTTCATTCATGTCTGTCAAAAAAACAAAAACAAAAAAAAGGTGTTTAATGTACCCAAACAAGAAATGAATTCTAGGAACACAATCTACTTTTATGCTCTAATTCACCTCTGGGCTCTAGAACTGGGGAAAATCCACTTTGGGCATTAAACTGGTATTCTGATCTCCAGGCCATCTTGCTAATCTGACCACCCATCTCAGGCCACAATTTTCTCATGCCTTAATTTCTCTCAAAACCTCATAACCAGTCTCTTGCTCTTAGTTTTTCTCTCCTATAACCCTGATTCTGCCCTGAAGCCAAAGCAATTTTTCCTAAATTAATCTTGATTTCCTGGCCTAAGACTGGATGGGGCTTTTGTGTGCCTCCAAATCACAGTTTTCCCTATGAAATGCAAACTCTTGACTTGGCCCTTGCTTGTGTTTCCCAGTTTTTTCCTCTCCAGCTGCATCAGGCCCTTGATGCATTCACAACATCCCACTTGAGCCATAACTGGACTACTCACAGGGTATACAGGTACCACTTGATTTACAAAGGGGTTATGTCCTTTCGACTTAAAATGGTTTTAAGTTGAAAGCCATTTTAAGTTGAAAACATCGTACATGAAAGTTGCACTTACACAACTAACCTACTCAACATCATAGCTTAGCCTCATCTACCTCATATTACCTCAAACATGCTAATGGCTGGACAAAACCATCTAGCTATACTTCAGCAACTAAGGAATAAGAACTATTTTTTCATAAGATATTGTCTCATCTAAAATATTGAAGAAGTGATGGGATATAAAACCACAAGATACAATATCCAAAAATACCTGCTGGCAGCACTGTGCACTGTAGAGCACCAGCTGTTTTCTCCTGTGTTCACCTGGCTAACCAGGAGCTGTGGCCCACTGCTGTTGCCCAGCATCTCCACTGAGCGTTGTACAACACATCACTGGCCTGACAAGAGATCCATATTCAATATTTGAAGTATAGTTTCTTCTGAATGAATATCACTTTCATATACCACAGTAAAAATTGAACCATCAAGAGTGGAGAACTCTCTACTTCCTCCTTTCTGCTCTTTCCCATTCTTGGTGAATCCTGATGTTCCCCAGAAGTTATAGGACTAGCTTTTGAGTGCCCACCTGTCCTCTTGGTTGGAATAGATGCTCCTCTTCTGAGCTTGCACACCCCCTGGATATAGTTCTCAGATGGCTTATCTTCCCCCAAAAGTCATTGGAGGCAGGCCCTGTAGCTTGTTTCCCTTTGAATCTTCTGCTCTGTCTGTTGAATAAATAAATGGAGTGAATAACTACTTAGGGTGTTTTTCTATGTATAAAGTTAACCCTAATTATAATACTGTAAAATTTGGTTAATTTTGGCTACTCTGGAGCACTGGAAAAGCAACTAAGAAAAATTGAAAAAGCCCTTGATCTGGCATCAGAAGACTGAGCTCAGTCACTACAAGCTGATCTTTGCTAAGTATAACAGCCTTTCTGAGTCTCAGTTCCTAGTTGATGAGCACAGGATACTTTATTATCCAGTGTGGCTGAGGACCAAGGGAGAAGGGTCTGGGGTGGATAGGGGTACTAGGTATATTGTAATGGCTGCATAAATGAGAAGAATTCTTGGGCTTTTCTTATCTGCAGTTGTCTTTTCTCCACCCATGCAAAACACCAGCTGAGAGAGGTGGGTGTGAATGGTTTCAAGGAAAACATACGAGAGGTGAATATTTGTCAAGTCTCTACTCAGTTAGGTGGAGCCATACCAATGCAGAGTAGAAATAGGAAAAGACTCACCCTTAGCTCAAAAATATACCTCTACTCTCTCACGCACTGTTGGTGAAAATGAGACCTGATACAAAGCCACTTTAGCAATAATATTCATCCCTTTGAATGCTTATTCCATCTCTAGGATTTATCCTACTGGAATAATTTTTGAGAATGGGTGGGGACCACTTTAGATGTGTAAGATGTTCATTGCATGTTTGTTTATTATAATGAATGAAAATACTCTGAAATAGGCAGCCAGGGTGGGATTGCTATTGGCTTTCAGCGGGTCTTCAGTAAAATGGAAGATAACTTTGAAAAAAGTACTCATGTAATAAAAACAATCTTAAAAGATTTCAATCTTCTGGATATGGTGCACACTTGTAATTCCAGAGACTCAGGGAGTTAAGGCAGGAGAATCACAGGTAGAAATCCAGCCTCAGCAATTTAGGGAGGCCCTGCCTTAACATAAAAAATAAAAAGGGCTGGAAATGTAGCTCAATGGTAGAATGCTCCTGGGTTCAACCCACAGTTCCATAGTAATTATAATAAATTAATAAAAGTAACAATTTATTGTTGTTTTTATTATTTTATTAATATTTATTAATGTAATGGTAAATAATAATAATTACTATTATCAATTCAATCTATGGGTTAATTTTCAAAACGTAAGTTAAATAAATGTAGAAAACCAGAGTGCAATGGGAAGGTACACCCCATTTTGAACAGGGTTAGTTGTCAGTAACAAATCCATAGGCACCACCCTATAAAGCTAAACTCAGCTCCAGTGAAAAAAGTTCACGGACTTCTGTGCAAAGAAATCTTTGTCTGGTTTTGGACTGAGGCCAGGCCTTCATCTGGTCTTTCAAAACCTGGAAGGAAGCTTTCAGAGGAACATCAATCAAGAGCAAAAATAAGGTTTGAGGTTGGAGAGCTGAAGTTGTAGGAAACCAGGAAAGCAAAGCTGAAACTTCCTCTTGAAAAATAAAAAATAGTAATAATCATGACAGTGACTCTGTAAAACAATTTGAAGTGTGTAAGGAGTTTTTACGCACATTGTTTGACTTCAACTGGTTCTCTTCTACCTAGCTTATTATCCTAACTGCCTGTAAAGTCCCTGCAGAGCCCAAGAGCTTTACATAGTTACTTATTTGGGCTGCATCCTCTTCACCTACCTCATACCCAGGGATTTCCCTGCTGTGCAGAAGTAGCTTCAAACCCAGTGGAAATTACCTGAAAGGGAACAGCTATGCTCAAGAAAGAGCTATCTCAGTGGGCTTTATCACTGGAGAGCTTCCAGACATCTAGGGGTCTTCCACATGCTTCCTGGGGCCTTGTCTTGTAAGAGGCATGGACCTGCTGCCCGCTGCTGTCTTGCAGCAAGTCAGGAATGGGAATTCATGTAGAATTAAGACCCACTCTTCTTCCTGAATCCTCATCCAGCCCATGTGTCAGTTCTCCTGTGGGATTTTGTGTTCTTTTTTTTTTTTTTTCTGTCTGTCTCAGCTTCAGAAAGGCTCTGTTTTCTCTCATTATTTTCCCACTTCACCGCGGCTCAGAACCATAGTGCATTTGTCAAATGCGTGGTGTGCCTTCACTCCCTCAGCTTTCCTGTTGGATGATTCAATACTAGGCAGTGATCTCTCCACTTGGGGAGAAGAAAGAAAGTGAGAAAGAAAGAAAACAGCTCAGAGCTGTGGACCCTGGGTTTGGGCTATTTTTCTTGAAGACAAACTGCCGTCTCTTATCTGATTTGAACTTCCACATTCTCAAAATGAGAAATGAATCTTTACACAAAAATCCAAGGGTTAGTTTTCAGGTGTTTGAGAGGAATCCTTGGTCCCTAGTGTTTTACGTTTGGGGCGGGAAGGGTAGTTTTTTGACTAAGGACAGCGACTGTCTCTGGTTTACACTTCTCTTTCGAAGTTTATTTTTTGTTTTGTTGTGGTTTTCAGATTTCTCATGGTTTGGATTTGGGAAAGTAAAATCAAGACAAGGTGTTGGTAAGTAGTCACTCCTTCTTTGGATAAGTAATGAGTTTATGTTGTTTAATTCAGATGAAACTTCTTGGATCTTGTTTATATTCATTGGCCTTCCACTTTTCTGTGTTCCTGGTTTCTGATTTCTTGAAGAAGGAGGTCCAGAAGTTTTCCAGAAAAGGCATTACTTTTGCTAATCGAGTAAATGGTTTTGCATTTTTGTAGCTGACTTGTTCTTTGTCCTGTGGGGATATGTCAACTGCTATCCCAGTTCTAAGTTGTGATGCATTTTTCAGAAGGGTAGCATCATAAAACACAACTGCATTATGGCTCACAGTGCGTAATTAGCTGACTAGTCAAGCCAGGACAAGTTTGGTTCTTAATTTTTTTCCATCGGCCAAGATGTAAGAGAGTTCTGAATTGGTAAATCAGCTCTTCGTTTATGACCATTTCTCTTTCAAAACAGATTTTCATGTCCAGACGCTGCGATTTGTGCTTGATTGCATTCTAGTCCTAGTATTCAGACTGTGTGCTGACAATGGAAAAGCAGGGTTTGTAGCTTACAGAGTGAATACAGATGATGATTTCAATCATTAGGATTGAAATCAGGTGTGATCTCCTGGGACTTCCAAATTTCTCAGTCTTTTCTATGGGTACAGAGACAACCAAGGAAAATTGCATAGAAGGCATAAAAACATTGACTGTTTTATATCATTCATGTGAATTTCCAAGATCTGACCATCACAGACAGATTCTATTGGTTGGCATTTCTTCTGGTAGCAAGGTTGGCTATAGTAGAATTGCAGAGTTGGGGAAGTGTATGGTTATCAGGGAGCCACCGAATTCTGGCCATCTGTCTTATAGTTGTTTATCCTATGCATATAAAGGAGTCCGTTTTCTGACCGTGGGCTGTTAAAAAGTCTCTAACAGTGTCTACCCAGTGATCCACAAATTAAAAGTAGGCTGAGCCCAAGCTGAGGCAGAAGGGGCCTGGAGGGGGGAAAGTCATCCTGACCCTTAGTAGCCCCACACGTTCTAAGGGAAAAGCTCTTAACAATCAAACAGAAAGTAGAGATGTGACAATGTTGGAACATCAAGCTCAATCAGCTCAGGACTTCTAGGAAGCTCTCCTGGGGCAAAATCCAGACATAGCCAATCACAGTGACTTTTCTAAGACATATTTTTTTTTTCTATTTCTTACATACATGACTATAGTGGAGTGCATTACAATCATAATTATCCATTCACAGCACAATTTTTCTTAACTCTGTATATAAAGTATGTTCATGCCAAATTATGCCATTATACATGAGCTCTCATTTTTATTATTTTTGCATTACAATTCTTAATACACCTTTATACCACAATTTATCATATATCATATCAGTTGACACCAAATTCACATCTTCATACATGTATTTTGTATAATGATGAGGGTCTCCTTTCACCATCCATGCTATTCCCCTTCTCCCTCCCTTTCCCTCCCACCCCTATTCCCTATCTAGAGGTAATCTTCCTCCCACGCTCTCCCTCCCTACCCCATTTTGAGTCACCCCCCTTAGACATTCGGCATTTGTTTTTTTTTGGGGGGGGGGTGGCTAACTTCACTTAGCATAATCTGCTCTAATGCCATCCATTTCCCTGCAAATGCCATGATCTTATTCTTTTTTTAGTGCCGAGTAATATTCCATTGTGTATAAATGCCACTTTTTTTTTATCCATTCATCCATTGAATGACATCTAGGTTAGCTCCACAGTTTAGCTCTTGTGAATTGTGCTGCTATAAACATTGATTGGCTGTGTCCCTGTAGTATGCTGTTTTTAGGTCCTATAATTTTTTAAGATTCCCCATTTTAGGATTTTGTGTCACATGTGTGTTGTGTGTTGTGTGTGAGAAGTACTCCCAGGAAAGTGTTGTACAATAATGTCTTCCTTTTACTAAAGGAAGTAAATTTTTACTAAATAGCACATCACTGAAACCACTTAAATATTTTTCAGACCAGTTTACATTGCAGAAGGGTGTTTGTCCTCAGAAAGCTTTAAAAATATGGTTTCACCCATTTTAAGTTATAGCTGAGAGCATTCTTCAGACTGCTGCAGCTACAGACCATCAGAAGTTTATTATTATTCAGGCATCATGAGGCCAACTGATTAGGAGACAATTGCAATTGAAAAGACAGTTTGATGCTCACAGTTCCCAAGAGAGACACACCACGCCACAGATGGCTGCACAGGGAAGCTCTGGGGTCAATCAGAGGCAGAGGGAGTGAGGGGAAAACATGGCCAAAAGCCCTTATTGTGGTTTTCATGGGAAGAGACAGGTGAGTAAACTGATTTAGGATTGGCTAGTTTGAGTACAAATTTCAGTGGTTTCTGAGTCATAGGGACTGTTGAGTTTTCTGATACCTACCTTGTCCTGGTGTCATTGGGACAGGTAGTCAGTGGCCTGGAGTGTAAGAGCCAGATAAGGAAGGTGGTTGGGGGTATAGACTCTGCATTGGCTGATTTGTATATGAAAGATGCACTTACCGGAAAGATGGTTACTATCTCTAGCAACAGGCGAACCCAGGTGGTCGGGGGAGGCAGAACCTCCAATGTAAACAGGGCCCCAGACATCAGAGCATCAGAATCTGAAAAATAAAAAGGAATTGTTATTACAACTACTCAAGAGTGACAATATCTCCCCTCATCTAGAAGCCATCTTTGGTATTGAGAGAAGGAAACTCTTTGCCTAATTGACCTTCCTCCAATTGGTTTTCTTTTTTTTTAAAATTAAATTATTTGTTTATTCTAATTTGTTATACACGATGGCAGAATGCAATTCATTTCATATTACACATATAGAACACAATTTTTCAAGTCACTGGTTGTACACAAAGTATTTTCACACCCTTTGTGTCTTCATACATGTACTTAGGGTACTGATGTCTAACTTATTCCACTGTTTTTCTTACTCCCATGCCCCCTCCCTTCTTCTTCCTCCCCTTTGTCCTATCTAAAGTTCCTCCATTCCTCCCATGCTCTCCACCCATCGCCATTAAGAGTTGGTATCCTCATATCAAAGAAAACATTCAGCCTTTGCTTTTTGGGGGGATTGGTTTACTTCATTTAATATTATATTCTCCAACTCTATCCATTTACCTGCAAATGCCATGATGTTATTCTCTTTTAATGTGAGTAATATTCCATTGTGTATATATACCAAAGTTTCCCTATCCATTCATCTACTGAAGGGCATCTGTATTGATTCCACAGTTTAGCTATTGTGAATCATGCTGCTATAAACACTGATGTGGCTGCATCACTGTAGTGTGCTATTTTTAAGTCCTTTGGGTATAAACAGAGGAGTGGGATAGCTGGGTCAAATGGTGGTTCCATTCCAAGTTTTCCAAGGAATCTCCATAATGTTTTCCAGATTGGTTGTACCAATTTTCAGTCCCACCAGCAATGTATGAGTGCCTTTTCCCCACATCCTCACCAACACTTATTGTTGTTTGTATTTTTGATAGCTGCCATTCTGAGTGGAGTCAGGTGAAATCTTAGAGTAGTTTTGATTTGCATTTCTCTAATTGCTAAAGATGTTAAATATTTTTTCATATATTTGTTGATTGATTGTATATGCTCTTCTGAGAAGTATCTGTTCAGTTCCTTGGCCCATTTATTGATTGGATTATTTGGTAGTTTTGTGTGTGTGTGTGTTTTTTTTTTTTGTGTGTGTGTGTGTGTGTGTGTTAAGGTTTTTGAGTGCTTTACATATCCTAGAGATTAGTGCTCTATCTGATGTACTTGTGGTAAAGGTTTGATCCCATTCTGTAGGCTCTCTATTCACCTCACTGATTGTTTCTTTTGCTGAGAAGAAGATTTTTAGCTTGAATCCATCCCATTTATTTATTCTTGGCTTTAATTCTTGTGCTATAGGAGTCTTATTAAGGAAGGTGGGGCCTAATCCCACATGATGGAGATTTGGATATACTTTTTCTTCCCATTAGGCGCAAGGTCTCTGGTTTAATTCCTAGGTCCTTAATCCACTTTGAGTTGAGTTTTGTGGATGGTGAGAGATAGAGGTTTTATCTTGTTACATGCGGATTTCCAGGTTTCCTAGCACCATATGTTGAAGAGGCTATCTTTTCTCCAATATATGTTTTTGGTGCCTTTGTCTAATATGAGGTAACTGTAATTATGTGGGTTTGCCTCTGTGTCTTCTATTTTGTACCACTGATCTACTGGTCTATTTTGGTGCCAATACCATGCTGTTTTTGTTACTAATGCTCTGTAGTATAGTTTACGGTCTGGAATAATAATGCCACCAGTTTCACTCTTCTTGGTAAGGATTGCTTTGGCTATTCTGAGTTTCTTATTTTTCCTGATGTATTTCATGATTTTTTCTCTAATTTCTATGAGGAATGTCATTGGGATTTTGATTTGGATTGCATTGAATCTGTATAGAGCTTTTGGCAGTATGTCATTTTGACAATATTAATTCTGCCTATCCAAGGATAAGGTAGATCTTTCCATCTTCTAAGGTCTTCTCAATTTCTTTCTTTAGTGTTTGGTAATTTTCGTTGTAGAGTTCTTTCTCCTCTTTCATTAATTCCCAATTTTTTTGAGGCTATTGTAAATGGGGTAGTTTTCCTAGTTTCTCTTTCTGAGGATTTGTCACTGATGTACAGAAATACCTCTGGTTTACGGGTGTTGTTTTTAATGTCCTGCTACTTTGCTGAATTCATTTATTAGTTCTAGAATATTTCTGGTGGAAGTTTTTAGGTCTTCTAGGTATAGAATCACATTGTCAGCAAATAGTGATAATTTGAGTTCTTCTTTTCCTATCCGTATCCCTTTAATTTCTTTTGTCTGTTTAATTGCTCTGGCTAGAGTTTCTAGAACTATGTTAAATAAGAAGTGGTGAAAGAGGGCATCCCTGTCTTGTTCCACTTTTTGGAGGGAGTGCTTTCAATTTTTTCTCCATTTAGAATGATGTTGGCCTGGGGCTTAGCACAGATAGCTTTTACAATATTGAGATATGT